GAGAGAGTGGGCAGGAGGGAGGGTGAGAGAGAGAGTGGGCAGGAGGGAGGGTGAGAGAGAGAGTGGGCAGGAGAGACAGCAGAGAAGCGGAGAGAGGCCAGCAGCAGTGGTCAAAGGATACTGGTCAAAGTGGAAGTCAGCTCCCACGGCAGAGGACATCATGGCTGTCAGGTTCCTTTCCTCAATGTCCCCGAAACAGTAGCCGTTGGCCTTATCAACAGCCCTCAGCACCTGCGTCATGCTGCTTTTATCCTGAGATGGTGGCCGAGTTGGGGGGTTACAGCAAGAAGATACATCATATTTCCATTGTTAAACACAACAAAAGGTCTATAGCAGGGGTGGCCAATCGCACACAGAAAGGGCCGGTGTGTATGCGGGTTTTCACTGCAACTCCCTAATCAGATTAGTAATTAGAGTAATGATTTGCTGAAGAGTCCTTATACCTTGGTTTGAACAGCTGACATAAAGATCTTCCCAAAAACCTGCATACACACTGACCCTTTGTGGATAAGATTGGCCACCACTGGTCTACAGCCTCACAAAATGGTGCTCAGAAGACAGCTTAGCTCTCAAAACCATCAAAACCAAGGAAAGGCAGTGAGGTACCCACTGCAATCATCATCAATGGAGAAATGGAGGAGAGTAGGGCTGCTCGATGATGGCAAAATCGTATTCATGATTATTTTGGTCAATAATGAAATCATGATTATTTAACACAATTACTCTGACTTTGGACATCTATTGAACTTTTTAAAAAACCTGCCTTTCTAACAGTGAATTTCTTTGAACTCTAAATATAATTCAACTAGGAAACAAAGAACAAGGGGCTAGCGGAGAAAGTCTCAGGTTCCTGGGCATCCATTTGTCAGAGGCCGTGACATGGACCATCAACACAACAGCACTGGTCAAGAGAGAGCAGCTAGGCTCTACTTTCTGTGATCACTCAGGAAAGTTAACCTCAGCAAAGATCTGCTTGTGTAGCAGTTTCCAGCGTACTGCTGTAGCACTGACAGCATATTGACATGCCGCCTCTCAGTATCGTCTGCCAGCTGAAGCACTGCAGACAGAAAAGCCCTGCAGAGGGTCATCAAGGCAGCACAGAAGATCACCGGGATCCAACTGCTGACTCTGTAGGACCGCTGGAGAGAAACCATCACCAGTAACCCAACGAAGCCCCTCTTCACCCTCCTGTCCAATGGATAAAGCAACAGGGTTACTTACCACCACACTTCCAGACTGAGGGAGCTTCCACCGATCATCATAAACCAAGCAAGGAACCTCAAAGCCAAATACCCCGACCACACCTCACCCCCCTGAGCTGCACCCATCTGTCAGCAGCTCCCCCCAAACTACTTAAGGTGCTACTAAATCTTAGCCAAAAATCTACAGTGAAAGAATATGCGACTGCACTGTTGCACTTTGATTCATCATTTAGCTTGATTCTAACTTTGGGATTTTCCACTATTTCTGTTGTTATAGGTGAAGTTTTTGCCAGACTAGCAGCACCTTATAGTACGATTACATTAAAATTAGCAAAAAATGTGCATCTAGTTAGAAGCGCAATTGAAACTTTGCTTGATATGTTGAGGACATCAGATTCTATTTGCCCTGTATTGTAAAACCCTTAAAGACTAAAAATTACAAAGACTTAACATAGTTCACAGAAGTTGAATGGAAAACCAAGCATCCTAAAAGCCAGAAAGGCAGACTGTACACTGACAGAGTAGTGACCCCACATGAGAGCCAGAGGAGGAATCCCACCTGTACATTGAGCGGTACGAATGACACCAATCCATAATCCTGGATGACCTCGGCAAGCTTCTCGTTCAGGCGAAGGAACTTTTTAAAGAAAGGGTCAGAAGCCAAGTGCTCCAGCAGGTACGAGAGATCCAGAACCTCGGTGTAGAAGTCCAGGTTGAAGGCTGGCATGAAAAAGCAAGAGAAAGAGGGGGGATATGGCGGAAAATGTTTATCTTTAACTGCACACAGACTGTCATTTATTTTCCTTCAGTGCAAAAGGAAACTACAGTGGTACCTCAGTTCTCGAACTCATTAGAACTCGAATTTCTTAAAAGTCGAACCAACCAGTTCAGAAAAAAATTACCTAGTACTCGATCAGAATCTCAGAAGTCAAACTGTGAACGGCGACCTAAGATAACATGTACGCACGGGGAAATGAGTCACGCGGCACGTCTCTCAGCGGAAACAAAGGGTAACGCTTCAGTCTCAGCCTCACATTCGCTGTGATAGCATGGTGCATGTTTACACTAGCTGAATACATATATTTAGATAGTAAAAATACATTTAGACGGTAACAGTAATTATTATTATTATATAATAAAATACTTTTAAAAATAAAGATTCCTTATTAATTATTTTAATTATAATATGAATACATTTAATGATAATAATATTGTGCCCAGCGGGGACGGAACGGAGACAAAGGCGCAGACGTCAGGGTATCGGGGAATACGGGGTATAATTACATGTAAGGCAGGCAAAACGCAGACGGACAATACAATGACCGGACTGGGGAAACAAACTGAAACGCGGACTAAATACAGAGGACTAATGACAACAACCAGAAACAGCTGATCACAGGGGGATTCCACACGTGGTTAACGAAGCGGCGTGGCACACGGAAGGAGCGGACGATCGGGGCAGGACATTTTTTTTTTTTTAAGTTTACACAATGTTTGGATACATTTATTTTCTTACTTAACAAATTACTGTTTTGATAAATGTGCTTAGATATTAGTACAGTATATGCTTTTCTCGATTTATCCGGTTCATTTTGTGTTTAAATGCTAAAAAAAACATATTTAGGTGTAAAAAATATTACATATTTAGGGGGGGAAAATTCGATCAGAACTCGAACTTTTTAGGATTCGACCCAGAGTTCTGAACGGATTAAGTTCGAGTTCTGAGGTACCACTGTACATCAATTAGCCTTTGTGCCATGGATGTGTCCAATAGGAACTCTTAATTGAATTAATAAATTATTTTTATTGCATGATAAATGGGCATCAGTCACAATGTGTCCTAATGAGAGAATGTCTGGTAGGGGAAAAAAAACACCATTCAAGTGGCCTTAGCCACTAAGCCACGGACTTTCTTGATGCTGAAAGAGCGTGAAAGGTCAGCAAGGCCCTCTACTGGTGATACGCGGTGCTACACAAGGCCTCACCCAGCTTGCCGTACTGCTCAATCAGGTCCATCTTGGACAGCACGTTGACGTGGGGAAGCTCCACATGCAGCATGGTAGACAGGGACGTGCAGAGCACCGAGATAAACTTGGCCGGGTCTGCGCAGTAATGCGAGTCGACCAGGTGAACAGCTGTAAGCTGTAACAGATAACTTTTAGCATCAAGGGAAGATTATAGTCAAAGGAACATACATCGACTTTCAGCTCTATCAGCACTCTAATATGGAGATAATGTAACCAGGTTAGTAATAGACTATGTAGATGAATCTGTTTATTGTATCATAAATATTCAGACCTCCAGAAAGACTTATGGCAATGAATCTTTGCCCTGCCCTCCAATGGCAGCTAAGTATCTGTAGACTATAGGGCTGTAATAGTACATGGATTCATCATGTACAGTTCCGTACATCAACTTCGGTTTAGTGCACACAATGAAATGAACGAATACCTTTATTGACATGAGCGCAACCTAAATTCACAAGTGGTTGTTCAACTAGTAAAACGTTACGCTAAGTGTGGCTGTGAGTTGATTATGGCTAATGCTGGTTACAGTCAATCATAATCAGTAGTTTGGAAATATTTTGGTTAAATTTAATTAATTCAGTGTTAATTTATTATTGTTAATACATGTTAATTAGAATTAATTACATTAATTACTCCAGCACTGAAGAGAGAGTAAAGACCAGGACTGTCTGTCGGCTCTGTTATACCAAGCTCAGATATGCTGCTGGAAACACATCCAACATGTTGCCTCATTTGAGATGATCATCCGATTTTCCCCATTGCATCTAAGGTGCTTTTACTGGAAAAAATCATCTAAGGACATGTTTAGGATTTAGGATCAGACACATCAACAGACACAATGCCATTGGGTTACAACTATCTCTAAGGACTTGTGTTTGCAGTTTTAATAAAAAATCTCACTCTAAAACGACTAAAAACAGTATACAGAAAAATACCAATATTGCTACTTATAAGAAAAAAAGTATTTTAGATCCCTTATATGATATATAAAGACGGGATCACTAAAAATGTATAGTTAAGGGAGGTCATCAGGCTTATTCATCATTCAACAGGACACTGTGGAAACGTGATACTTTGTTAAAAATAAGCTCCAGAGTTGCAACATCTCTGCTAAACCTGGACAGCTCACCCTGAAGTTCCATTTCTCCAGCTGGGCAAAGATGTTTTTGACAGAACTTTGGTGGGTGTAGAGTTCCACCTGGCCTGGGCAATCGAACAGGAAATAGCAGTCACGGTGGAGCCTGATCTTGTCTTCCAGCCAGTCAAGGTTGGCCTCCAAGTACTCCATGCAATAGAGGAGACCGCCATTGGGTCCAAGCTTCAGGCCGTCCATGACGTCATCGAGGGTCACCAGCTCCGAGATATCCACGGCACAGGTGTAGGGCAGCGCCTCGTTGGCAGGGTCCAGGTTGACCACGACCACCTTTCGCCCCAGCTTCCCCAGAAAGTCCTGCATACCCAAGCAATATGTTGTCTTTCCTGAGCCTGGGGGGCCTATAACCACCTGGCCGAAATATGACGAGAGTGGATGGTGGTCGGGGGGCTGAGTTGACATGGCGTTCGTGCCGATGGTTCAGTCTCGAGGAACAGCATGTAAGTATCTGGATAAAACAAAAACATGACGCCATAGAAATTGCTAGAAAATCAACCCAAAATGATAACGCTCGCTACTAAATAGCCATCGCTGCAATTCAAGTATAACTTCCTCAACTAAACTAAAAATCTAAGTTTTACACGTATTAAACAAACGATACTATCTGCGTCTCCATTCAGTTCAAGGTAACTATAATAAAGTACTAGACACTAATTGAATTCTTGTCCATGCTAGCTGCTAACAAAATAACTAACATTTAGAGATTATTGACAGAAACGTTTGAAATTTAATTTCTGGATCATATACAATTTAAAATTATTTTAATTACAGAAATACAGTTTATTAAAACTGAAATATGTCCAAACCTGCTTTCAATCGCCGATCGACTTCCAGCGGAAGTAGTACGGTCCTATTTACCGTCCTGACTGGAACAAGACACGAAATGTTTGTTCCCGGTGGCGGAATTGTATTGTTTTCAGGGTGGAAAAAGTATTTTAAATCCCACTCTTAATTGATGAAAATATGCTCCACTGAAATGGAGCATATTTGGAAGACCAAAACATCCATCTATCCATCCATCTTCTGTAACCGGTCGTCCTATTCAGGGTCGCAGGGGTTCCGAAGCCTATGGACGCAATGCAGGGAACAAAACAGGACGGGGCGCCAAACCATCGCAAAGACCAAAATACATTTATCTGTATTTAAAAACGATTTAAGGTTATGTAGTTTTATTAATGGGAACAGTTATATAATTAGTTATTTTTATTAATATATTTTATTAAAGCACAATATTTAATATATAATTTTACATTACCGCTTATTCTAAGCCACCATCACTGAAATCAGCGCTGCTAACTGCCCCTTAAAGCAGTTGTTCTTAAAAATATATTCAAGTATTGCAACCCCTTTCCATTAAATACGAAATCAAAAGCGGTAGAATGAAGCCCCTTTTAAAAACGCATTCGGAAATTTATACTCCGACTCCACCCCCCGCCCCCCCCCAAAAAATAAAAAAATAAATTATGCCTAATAGTTAGACAGTTGAGAAATCAGGGTCAGCCAGCATCCCAGGAACAGCTGGGGTTTGAAAGCTTTGCTCATGGACCCAACAGTAAAGTGTTCATCATTCTTCAGTGGTACATCATCGTAAAATACATATTTTACAATCTATTAAAAATCATATTGGTAGGGTGTCTCAAGTGGTTACACAAATGTATGGACATAATTATGCAATGTGAATTAATCTCTCATTAATATAGATAACTCAAAGGTGTTCCCATTGTGTATTTCATCAATAAGCACACAGCTCATATGAATATTAAATTTTTTATATTTTTCCCCTGAGAAAGAGTAACCCAGCAACATAAATATATCAAATGAAGAACACACATACAATGTCCACCGTACTATAAATCATTACTAACAGAGTTTTTATTTCAATGTATTCTGATATAAACTCCACCATACACACAGTGGAATGACCTGAAACAACAGGCTGCAAGGGATCCAGTTACACAGTCATGTTTTGTATGAGACCTTCAACATGTGTATCGACTGCTCCATACACAAATCTCCTATTACACGAGACAGAGAGAAGGCACTTTGGCTCTTAGGATACAGACACTGTTCTCCAGTTTATCAGCTGGACATGCCAGGAAGCAACAACACCTTCAGAAGAGTGTCACGTCGCACCGAGTAGCAAACACTTTGTACAAGACAAAACAGGACAACGATGGAAAGTGGGTGGCAAGAGGAAAGCAGGCCTGAGGTTGTAGATCATCTGCTGCATGTTTTGACCAATGAATATGCGTTTATTCACTGATTTGTGACCTGCTGTGAGGAAAACCTGACAGAATGTAAAACATGGCTGGCCAGATGCCAGCTGTAATTCCCAGACAGCGCTTCACAGAGTGACTGCTGAGGGCTGATTTTCTTTGTCCGATGCCTTAACTGATAAGATACATAGGATATATTTTTTTGGGGATGGGAAGGGTGTCAGCTGTTGTGGTTCATGCCCCCTGGCTGCCACTCTCTGTACTTCATGCTTGTGGTAGGCTGCCGTCGTAGCAGAGTGTCTCCTCTGTCTATGTCTTTGGGCTGGTCGTACACGGTGGAGATAAAGAAGTCTTGGCGCGGCTTCTTTACCGGGAGGAACGAGCTGAGCTTCTCGCCATGGTACCTTGATTAAAGAGAGCGGACACGCAAAACACTTGCTTCATCTTTCATAAAGACACTGAGTGCAGCACACTGCATTTCCCACAATGCAAATCATTATACAGGCTTTACCTTTCAGTGGGAGGCTCCATTTAGGGTCAATGTGGAATATTAGTGATCAACACCTTATTGCAAAGTGCTTTTCAATTTTATACACAATGTTAGTGTAGCAGAGGCTGCAGCTCTGGCTTGTATGGACATAACGGGCTCTTACCCCAGGCCTCTTTTACATCGGGGATGCTGTCCCTCATTCCCCAGAGCGTCAGCCATTCCTGCCTGGCTGTGGCCCAGGCCCTCACCGTCCCTCCAGCCTTGCTTCTCCATCACCCTCCTGCCGACACCCTGTATGACATCACAACATGTCTGAGGCCTTTACACGGATACAACTGCCATCACTGCCTGTATTTCTCTGGCTTGTGGCTTTTTTTATTTTTGAAGATGAATACTACAGTCTTTGAAAAAAAACTGCTATGACCAGAGAAAGTAATTGATTGGCTGCCCTACCTTTGTGAACTTTTCAAAACTCCCAATTGGCTGCTGCCTGTCAGAGGGCGTTTCCAATCCCTCCCTCAGCCTCCGCTCATGACGCATGTCCACATAGTCACGCGCGTCCATATCGCCGCCATCTGAGTGATGACATCATACAGTTTGGAGTTAGGTCAAACATTCTAACAAAATAAACCTACACAGCCCAGAAACCAAGATAAGGAAGAATGAAATATGCTACCTTTGTCGTAGTACACACTCATGTCCACATCCCAGTCATCTGCTGTTTGCTCATCAAAATCTGTTGAGAAAGACAGTAACATGGAATATGAGGAAAATATAAAAGAACTTGGAGCAGGCTGCCAATAGATGTAAGTTTAATAAAAATTTGACCCAAAATAGGTAGGTAAGGAGCATGCACTGATTACAGTGTGTAAGGAGCATGCACTGATTACAGTGTATAAGGAGCATGCACTGATACAGTGTGTAAGGAGCATGCACTTATTACAGTGTGTAAGGAGCATGCACTTATTACAGTGTGTAAGGAGCATGCACTGATTACAGTGTGTAAGGAGCATGCACTGATTACAGTGCGTTGCCACACCCACCACACAACAAACCATCTCAGGGATGAGAACCTGAGTGCAGCCATGTGGCAGGTGATACCTCAGCACCACACTAGTCCAAATGGACCTGCGTAAGGTTTTTTCCTAGTGGCTGGAGTGCTAATCCAGCCATCAAACCCCAAGTTATTCCCTGAAAGTTGGAGGACCTCCTTATAGGGCTGGATGTAGAGTTAGGTCATACCCAGGACAAAGCGATAGCAGGTTAAGCGCCTTGCTCAAAGGCCCAATGGAGTAGAATCACTTTGGGCATTCACAGGATTTAAACCAGCAACCTTCCAGTTGTGGGCACAGATCCCTAGCCTCAGAGCCACCCAAATTAACTAATCTAGTAATTTCACTGATATGCATGCAGGGAAAAAAATAAGGCGACTGTAAAGAACACTTATACCCCCTTTAAGGCCTATGCAATATTGTGTCATTTTAAATGCGGGAAATTGTATGCTAGGCAACAAAGTAATTAAAAATATCATGTTAGCCAAAAGTCAATCTAATTTAATATCATTTGAGAAATTTACATATACATTCAAATCATTTATCTGACACTTAACCAAAGCAACTTACGGTAGAGGGAAGGGTTAACATTTCTGTGTACTCCCGGGGTATTTGAGCCTACTACATTTGCATTGTTAGTGCAATACCCTACTTATTGAGCTACAGAAGTCTATGTCACAACCTCACACAGTAGACAGTGACTATCTTCGGCTTCATTACTTGCTCAATACCAGCTGATACAGATTAAGATCAATGGAAGAGTGACTATTCATTAAAAGCACTAGCTGAAATCACGAGCTGTAATAGTCAGCTTATAACTGACTAAACAGCAGAGTGTTTATAGCCCCCAAGTGGCTGCTGACTTACCGGCCTCCTCCTGCTCCTGCCAGTACTGGGCATCGGTGTAGAAGACCAGGCCTGAGCCTCCTTTCTCCCACTTAAGCTCGATCTCCTCCTCATACAGCCGCTCCTTGCTGCGCTCCTGGCTGGTGACGTCCTCGTGCAGGGCCTCATGACGCTCCCACTCCTCGCACCGGTCGTCATCCTGGACCAGGGAGAGGTCAGCCAAGGCTCAGCAGGTGGGCAAAAAACACACAACCGGAAGCCTCACACCCATATTACTTTCCTGGATCACAGCTCCTAGAAGGGCTTACAGAGTAACCACCCAATGTATTCTGGCCAGAAGCAGACATCAGTCTCCAGTGCTAAGCAGGTATAGCAATCAATCAGTCAAGCAATCCATCAATCCATCCATCAAGGGTCATTGGAGACAGGAGTGTCTCACAGAAAGCACTGGGCAAGGGACACCCCTGACAGGATGCCAGTCCATCATAGGGCTCAAGGCAGGAGACGCCCATACAACTTGTGAAGAACATGCAAAGTCCTCACAATATCAGGGTTGGTGATTTGATTCCCCTCTCCTCTGTGTATGTTTGTGTGTCTGATATCACTGCTACTCAATAAGCAGCTCCATGACAGCACAGTGAACACTTCACAGGTCGCTAATCATACAACATTTAGTCTGAATAAGCATTTACAGTTTCAGTGGAGAAACTCACATCATCAGGACCTGACTCGACCTCCTCTGGCCCAGACACCGTCGTTTCTTCATCCTCCAAGACAACGTCAGGCCCTGGTGTCCCCACAGGGTGAGTGCTGACCCGGCCTGGCCCAGAGATCTCCACTCCTCTAGCTGTGTACACACTCTCCCGGGTGGGCATGATGGTGTATGTGTCCTGGTACTTGAAGGGCACGTTGCCGTAGCGACGGCGGGAGCTTGTTTTGGGGAAGGTGAGGCCCAGCTGGCGGATGAGCCGTGGAGGCAGACGGCAGGCCTGGATCAGCTGTAGGAAGACCGTCACCGGCGTACCCACATTACCGGCGGGCATCAGCGCCGGCGGGTTCATCTCGGGCAGGCTCCTCAGGTCAGCCTCTGTGAACTGCTCCGTCGAGGCTGTACGTCGATTTAGCTCAGCCCTGGTCTTGTAGGGGAAGCTGCTTTCTCCTAGCCGAAAAACAACACATACCATCAAACAACATATTCCATCTTGGCGCTATACATTCTGTCGAACTTAGAATTCTTTTTATAGAACATCTCAATAACAATGTAAAGCTATAGCTTTGGATAGAAGCAGTGGTTCTCAATCCTGTTCCTAGGGGACCCCCTGCCAGAATGTTTTCATTCCAATCCTACTTTAATCAGGCTCAGATGTTATTTAATGGGCTGATGATGAATGTGGCAGGTTGAGAACAGTATGGATGTCATTGAAAGCATTCTGGCAGGGGGTCCTTCAGGAACAGGACTGAGAACCACTGGGATGTGGTACCCTCCTAACAGAACACGTGGAAGAACTTTCTCTGGATGCAACCCTACTACCTTGAATTTCCTTGCATCACTAACTTTTTATATATTATTGGTGATCGCTGTCAGCAAAAAGATCTAACCTCTTTCGTACGCATTGACATTAGAATTAGAATTAAGTGATCAGTGGTCATTGTCAACACACCACAGCACACAACAACGAAATGTGTCCTCTGCATTTGACCCATATGTGACTTTCGTGACATAGCAGGGGGCAGCTAATTCAGCGCCCGGGGAGCAGTGCTTGGGGACGGTACCTTGCTCAGGGTACCTCAGTGGTGACTTGCTAACTGATGTTGTGAAATGTTTGAGATATTTACGATAGATCTGCATACTCACAAAAAATTCTAAGAGAAAAAGACATTAGTTACACATTATTTATCTATTTCCGTGAGAAAGAGCAGAGGGAGGCGGCCCCACCTGGGTTGTCCGATACCCGGATTCTCCGCAGCACACATCGTCTACCCAGCCAGTCGCCCAGTGAGGCTTCCCAGTGATTCCCGGCGTACATTCGGATAAAGCGATCGTCTTCTCCGCCGCGAACCGACACGATGCAGCAGCACGTCTTCTCGCCTTTCGCCGCGGCGAGCCTCCCTTCGGCCCCCGCCGGCTCGCAGCCATCGTCGGCGTCCTGCGGGCCCTTGGCTGCTCCGCTTTCCGCCGTATCCCTGAGGACCTCAGGTCGGTGTCGGTAGTGAAAGCACACAAAACCCTTATCTTCGACAAACTGGCTGAAATAGTTCCTTAAGTCAGCTGAGCGAAATGTTGCTGGAATGTTACTAACTGCGAAGTAAACAACATCACGGGAGTCCGCCATGACACATACGTCACTCTCTTCCTTCATCATGAGTAAAGGCACTTAATTTGAGGGGAATCTCTGGTAAATTAGGTAAACCATCTACCATGCTCAACACTGACGAATTTATCTGAATCTGAATTTAAGTGTAACTAACCAAATTATTTTATACTGCCTTTTAAAAAAATGTTCTGTTAAGTGGATTATTATATACTGCCACCTACTGTTCAGGAGGGTATTTAACAAACAGCAAAGCGACCTTTACGTTTGAAGGGCTGGATGAGTAGCATCGCTGCCTCACACTTCTAGAGTTCCTCCCAAAGTCTGAAGGCATGCAGTTAGGTTAATTGGTATGGATAAATTGTCCATGCTTTTTTCCTGCTTCGGATAAGTGGCTGAGTGAATGAATGTCACATTTATGTAGCACTTTTCAAGACACCCAAAGCACTTTACAGAAGCAATTGGGAGCCGCTTCAACCACCACTACTGTGTAGCCCCCACCTGGATGATATGGCAGCAGCCATTCTGCACCAGTATGCTCACCACATAGTAGTAGGGGAAGGGACAGGAGATAATTCGCCAATTAGATACAGGGGATGATTAGGAGGCCAGATTTGACAGGACCACAGTGGGCAGTTTTGTCATGGACATCAGAGTAGCACCCATACTCCTTTGGAAAATGCCCAGGGATCTTCTTTGACCTCAGAGAGTCGGGACCGCGGTCTTACGCCTCATCCAAAGGACGGCACCATTTTTACAGCACAGTGCCCACATCACTGCACTGGGATCCACACTGACCACAGGATGGGCTAAAATGTTGGCCACACCAGCGCCTCTTCCAGCCTCAACCCAGCTTTCCTAGTTGGTCTCCCATCCAAATACCGGCCATCCCCAAAAGCAGACATCACTGTTAAACCTTCTTACATTAATTAATTAAAAATGCAGGACAGTAATAAAGTGGCAGCTTTACATGTTTTCATTTCATGTTCAAAGGTAGTACTTCTGGTGAATCAGTAATTTTGACCACACAGCATATTCTACATGCCAACTCGTATTGCATTAAAAACCAACCTTCCCCAAAGCAATAGTGAATGTGAAGACTGCTTTGATCCATAAAGTTGTTATGGAATATAATGGCGATAGCTGTTTACAGCAAATGTATGTTTTGAGTCCATGTTTATTGCAGCAATATAAAAATAAAAATGTGTGAATGTGCCTAGGAATACGGTACGTTTTGCCCTGACTCTAGTGGCTGGCATTTTAACAGCACAGTCTGTTACTACATCATGCTCTGGATAAACCTCCACGCCGTGTTGCTCCCCTACAAAAGGCAAGTTCCTCATCCGAGGAGAATCTCTAGGAGATCCATTTGTTGCTACCGTTGCCCAAGGAAGCTGTTTTTTTTTTCTCCTCAGAACTTCTAAAGGCAAAGTCAAAGAGCTGCAATTTATTTTGCCCTTTGACACCTTTGAATGGCCACCAGTTAAACCCACAATTGAAACACTGCAGTTATTTGCATTCCAAAATAGCCACGTTCCAGTATTTTTTTTGTTTTATTAGTAGAGATCTCTCTGTAATAAGTTTAAATATGAATTGGTAAGTAACTTTTGTATTCAACTTTTATATTAAAAACTACTGTAAATGCATTATTTTGTATATAATATCCATCCATCCATCCATCCATCCATCCATTTTCTAACTGCTTCTTCTGGTCAGGATGTCAGGGGCTTGGAGCTCATCCCAGGCAGCACAGACAGAAGCACCACTGCACATGCAGCTGGAAGATGAAAGGATATTGTGCTGCTGATTCATCTTCCAAAAACCTGCAGGACATACTAGAAAACTCTCAAACCATTTGAAGTGCTATGGGGGCTTAAACTACGAGGATTTTATTTAACAAGACAACTGAATATAGGTTATGGCTTATAGCACATAGCAATAAATTTGGTAGATGAAAGACACTGGTAAAACACAGCAATGTTTCAATAAAATATGCATTTTGTATTTATAAAGTTCCTTTTAAAATTATGCACCTCTTTGTAACACCTATTTATCGAGATTACGCATAAACATTAAATGCCACAAAACTGTAAACATAATGATAAAACACAAAAGATAATAAAACTTGGTAGAATATCTTGGCAAAACATTCCTGATGTGTCATATTGAAAGAGTTCAACAACCTTAGAAATGTAAGATTGTAACCTCTTGCCATGACCTTCAACTTTATGATTGTGCTGTAATTCATATATAGTAAAAAGAGAACAGCTACTGGAAACTAACACGAAAATCATCAAGTATTTCATCAAGTGTATTCTTTTTAAGACCATATGAATCAAAAGTGAGTTTTCTTCCCTGCAGTAATAAAACTCTTGTTTTGTTGTAAATTACAAAATTCATTTTGCCACCTAGAATCTCTTGACAACTAAATTGTTGAAAATTGTGATTCACCTGCCTTGCTGAAGTGGTTTCCAACTTAAATGTTGTACTTAGAAACTAAAATATATGCACAATTCGGAAACATATATTCTGTTATAAATCATATCTATCCATGTGACTACCTACCTAATACATAGTCACAGTCAGCATGGAGGCTGTCCCAGGCATCACTGGGCGTGAGGATGGGGGACACCCTGGGCAGGACATCAATCCATCAGAGAACACACGTGTGTACTCTATGGACAGTTTATACTTGGAAATTCACATAGCTTTGAAGTACAATAGGAAGCCCTCTCAAAATGGGGATAACGTGCACTCTCCCTACACAGAGCAGGAATGACATTCAGCTCCCACTTCTGGAGTAATTAAAGGCATTAATTATGAATCACCGATCAGAAGATGAAGTTGTGTCTTCCCCCCACACACAATGAAGATAATGCATGATAGGGAAAGAAAAATCCAGGGTCACATTAGTTGTATCATGGGGCCACTAAGTCTGGAAATGTGCGTTTACCGTTGAACACTTACCAGCTCTGTCATCAGGAATAAAGCTTTCTTACCATGCATATCACTTCAGGGGGTCCCACAGCCGACCCTATGCAGCACGGGGAAAGGCTGAGGCACAAAGGCATGTCAATAACATAATGACTCATAAAGATATTTACAAATAAAAGTATCCCGAGTTGTGAAATGCATTGAGAAATTGTAGTATGTAAATAACTTGCTGAAGCTGATTGTTATGTCACGACTTACACTGTAGTGTATACCCAAAGTTAACACCATGGTTAGATGCCAACAAGGACATGTTATTTTTTAGTATAAAGCTTGTAAGAGAGATAAGCCACTGACCTCAGTGTCTGTCACAGGTTGCTCCTTCCTTCAATAAAACATAATCTTTACCACCCTGTCAGCGTGCCATCTCTCAGTAATATATCACAGATCAGGCTCTCCCAGGATATTGACTAAGCCAGCGAAGGTTACTTGCGTACATCGCTTAAGTTTATCTGGTTCCTGGACTAGTTCTGGTTCTGCTTTGGCAGAGTAGTGACTTATTTAAGTACAGGGTGTCTGTGATCCTGGAACCTCTCCTGGGAACGCACCGACCAAAAACATGGATTTAGGTTAACTAGCCTCTCTTCCCGTGCCTTACGAATCCCTGGACAGGATGCCAGTGCATTACGCTTACACTGTATGGGCAAATCAGAGCCATCAGTTCCCCTGATCTGCATTCCAGCTGGAGCTCCTGGGTCCCAGAGGACACTAATCCAAACACAGCAGAACATCAATGCATGGTAAAGGAGCTGAAGGTGTGAGATCGCAGTGCCACTCAGAGCCAGTGCCGCACCCTGGGCATGTTTGGCTTTATCAGTTTCACATAACAGGGAAGATCAATATGGCGTACAATATGCAGTGAACAGAATGACCTGGTGGATTTAACTAGAAACAGCACCTATCCAGTAAAAAAAAAAAAAGACTTTTGCAATTTGAATATTGATAGTCAGTTTTTGTGCAGTTTTTATATCCATTTTTAGAATGACTTTGTGTACAAACATATGCATTTTTAAATCAGGTTTCAAATCCTCCAAAGATTTATTTGATTCATTTTCATTTATGTCATGCCAGAAATTCAGATTCAAACGAACTGCTGCTCTCTGAAAGTGGTATATTTGCTGTTTGGTGTGATGATGGATGAAGTAATTCAAGGCCATTTCGGAGGGCAGGGGAGGGTTATTTGCGTAACCGTAGTTAGCTTCCAGCTTTATTACACCTGTTTACTTGCGTGAACTGACCTTGACAGCTGCCAGGTGAAAACTCAGGGATTTCTCATGCTTGTTAAATTGCAGCCATCAGGGCATGTCTGCTCATCCAGCTCAGAAACAATGTGTCCCAGACACAGCCATCAGAATAATAAAAGACACACACACACACACACACATTAAATCTATAAGCACAGTATGAACTCCCTGTGAGTAACCTGCATACCTCTTGCCCAGAACCTAAACCAATGCCATAAGTCAAATCAATATAAACATTTTGCTACACACCTGCTATAGATTAGCTGACAATAATATTTCCCAGAAAGGGACTTATGAGTTATCAGTACAACGAACAAGTAACGAACCCTGTAAAATCTAGTCATTGCATATGTATTTACAGTATTGAATGGTTGGAATTTAGTGAGACCAGTATATACCGGCTAGATGCTGTAGGATCAGTCAGCTCCCCTATGTTACACTTTTAGTCCTCATGTTGTATCTTCAGTCGTATGCTTCAGTTTCTATATACCTCCCTAATCTAGCACTTCCCTGGCTAGATTCCCACAAACCACAGCATGCTTTCTCTGAGATACCAGAGCATGTGTCAAGCTCTAATTTAAATGTAACTGGTCCAGTTTAATCCATGTGTGCTTCTACCTAATAGATTTCTTGTTACTTCTGTTTGTTCACACAGGTATTACTTACCAGGTGAGATCCTTTTAAAATCTTGACATGTTAACTCTACAGCTGGTGTTTATACTGTAAGTGTATGTTAAAATTGTTTTACCTAAACATAGAATTATATCTTTATAAGTATACAAGTTAAACAAATTGGTACAACTTCACAGTATTATCACCCTTTGGAGAAAGTTAGACCTAAATTTGATTTTAAGCTAGACTTAGAATTAAATAAAAACTTAAATCAAAAATGATCAATTATTATTAGTAAATTGCTATTAGAATCATTATTAGTAAATTGTTCTACAATATACAGTGATTAATTTGAAAGGGTACCAATGCATGTTTATGATCAAGTGGGCAAATCAACTGAGAGATCATGAAAAGTGTGAACCAACGCAGCTTACGATTACCTGAGATCATCAATGTCCATATCGTTGTACTGCAAAGGTACCCTTTATTTGCATTATGTTCTGTAACTTACGGAAAAGTGCACTGCAATGAAGCAACCTCCATATTCATTTTTATTTTTTTATAAGAACATAAGAACTATACAAACGAGAGGAGGCCATTCGGCCCATCGAGCTCGCTTGGGGAGAACTTAACTAATAGCTCAGAGTTGTTAAAAT